TGTGCCTAAACACATGGTCATCTAACGACACGCAAAGTCACTCGCAGCTCCACGACAGCCTGCACTCTAGTTCTATGGGTACTAGTGAAGACACAAATAGGTTGTCCATTCCTGACCATCTACTGAGCGAATATGTCCAAGGTAAATAAAACACTGGAGACCATTAGAAATTGTATTTGTGATTTCATTTATATATCATGTATTTTAAATATTAATGTTTGGAGTTTTTCAGAAATGAGCATTTTGCAGTAAGATTGAATCAAGGTGAGAACACCACAGTGATGTCAGGGGCAACCCTGCCTTCAGTTTGAATGAGACCATGTACTTTCCTATTACACACCTGAACTTGGCTTTACACATGTGATGTTTAAATGTCTGAACTTATTGTAAGTATAAAATAAATGGTGCCTACTTGCACTCCACTGAACAAATGTTTCTTGATTATTTAGTGTACACTGGCCTCTGTTCTCAATGTGGAGGATACCCAATAGAAATGAAAGATTAAGGCGCCCTGCCTAGATTTGCTTATGATCTAGGCAGAGATGTAAATACTCAGATCCCAGGGGAAAGATGCACAGAAAGGCCAGGCTTCAAAGAGGAGGAGACAGTGGGTCTGGGCTTTGGAGGGTGAGTATAAGTTTGCCAAATAGACAAGGGGGTGGGGGAAGGCGTTCTGGGTAAAGGAGTTGACATCTGCAAAGGGCTGAAGGCAGGTCCTTGGGGAATGAAGAGTTGGCTGCTGTACAGGGTTCTAGGAGAGGCAGGGAAGACTCCACCCAGCTGGGCTGATTCATCATATTGTATATGGATTTTCCTGTGTGCAGAGAGATCCAGGGTCTAATTTCTCTCCTGGGTCTGTTTCAGTGTGCTGATTAACTCAGAAGCAGACAGAGAAACTTAAAACCATCAGAAATGAGGATGTGTCCAGAACAGCTCCATAGAGACATAAGCAGCTGGCAAGGGCTGGGGAGGGGAGAATGGGGAGTGACTGTCTTTAGGTACAGGGTTTCTTTATGGGGTGATGAAAATGTAGATTAGTGGTGATGGTTGCACAACCTTGATGGTATTTTAGGATACCATGGTTTTTGGTATCCTAAAAACCATGAAGTGTGCACTAAAATGGTGATAGTTGTGTCATGTGAATTGTGTCTGTTCTTAATAAGGACATTTGAATGAAGCATGCCTTAATCGACATGGCCAGCTCCAGAACACAGGGCGGAACTGAAGCTGATCCCTGCAGCTGCCATCGAATCTCCATGTGCTGATGGCCCTGGGTGGCCACCTGCTCAGCGCAGACTGACCTGTGCCAGGAATCAGGCTGGTTGTGAGGAAGCCTGACTGGAGCCTTCACCTGTCCCAGCTCTGCGGAGAACTCTGTGGCCTGTGACTAGTCATTTGACTTATTTGTGCTACAAAGAGGCTCATCAAACTCTGGGGAATAGCAGAACCTTCGTCACTGAGCACTAACAATATAACCATGAAAAGTGCTGAGCACCTTGCCCTGGCTCCAGTATGGAGACTCAGAATAGAGACCAGGGGGGTGCAGAATTAGTGGTCAAATCAATAATCATCACTCAAACAAGCACAGTTTAAAAAATATATATCATAATAGTGCATTTCACTATTTCAACCCTACTATGATGAAGGTATTATTTATTATCTGCATTTCATAGATGGGAAAACTGAGACACAGAAATGTCAAGCATCTTGCCCAAAGTCACACAGATAAGAGGGAGAGAGGATTGAAAATCAGGCCATGGGGGGGGGGGCACCTGTAGTCCCAGCTACTTGGGAAGCTGAATCAGGAGGACCATTTGAACCTAGGAGTTTGGGGTTGCAGTTAGCCGTGATGATGCCACTGCACTCTACCCAGGGTGACAGAGTGAAAACCTGTCTCAAAAAACAAAAAACAAGGTCAGGTGCAGAGGCTCACATGTGTAATCCTGGCACTCTGAAAGGCGTAGGCAGGAGGATTCCTTGACCTCAAGAGTTCAAGGCCAGCCTTAGCAAAGTGAGATCCCATCTGTAACAAAAATAGAAAAATGAGCGGGGCATTGTGGGGGGCACCTGTAGTCCCAGCTACTTGGGAGGCTGAGGCAGGAGGATCACTTGAGCCAAAGAGTTCAAGGTTGCTGTGAGCTATGATGCTACAGCACTCAACTTAAGCAACCTAAGGCAACAGTGAGACTCTGTCTCAAACAAACAAATAGACAAACAAACCAAAATCCAAAATCAGGCCATGGCTTAGCCACTGCATCACACTGGCTTTTGCTAAGTGTGACTTACTGGACTTCAACCAGTAAGACAAAGGAAGTCCCTAAAAGGCTTGGACTTTGAAATGACAGAGTTGGCCTTGAGTGTCACCAAGCAATATCTGGTGAGGAGAGGAGGGGAGGGGAGACAGGGGCAGGAATTACTTCAATTGTCCAAGCAGTGATGGGTCTGTTCCTAGGATCGGTAGCCCTAAAAAAGTCATTTAGAAAAAGAAATACCAGTCAAAAATCCTTTGTGGCACTTCAAACTGTTGTGTTAGAGTGAGACGTGGGTTGAGCAGGGAGACTCAGTCCTGCTGATGTCACGTTTTCTTCGCTGTACAAATACCCGACATCTTTGTATCCACAACCATCACCAAGCTTCAGCCTCCCTGTTTATGTGCCTGTGACCTCTTCTCTGAAGCTAATCTCTGAAGCTCCCCTGTGAATTACCTGGGTTCCCCGAATCACTGAATGATTGCAGGCTTAGGACTTGTAGTGAACTGAATGGTGGCCCCGAAAGATGTGGCCATACCCTCATCCCAGGAGCCTGTGCCATTACCCTAGAAGGTAAAAGAGTGGACCTTCTCTTATAAGGCATACATGATTAAGTTAAAGATTTTGTGAGGGGGACTTTGTCCTGGATTATCCAAGTACACCCTTAATCCAATGACCAGCGTCCTTATAAGAGACACATGGAGGAGGCCATGTGATTGGTGTGATGTGGTGGCAAAGACTAGCCACAGGCCAAGGAATGCCTGGGGCCACCAGAGTGGAAGAGGAAGGAGCAGGCTCACCCTACGTTCTGTGGAGGGACTGAGGCCCTGCGGCCACACCTTGACTCTGGACTTCTGGCCCCCAGAACCAAGGGAGACCACATTTCTGTTGCAATAATCCCCTCTGCTATAGTGATTTCCCCCAGCAGTGACAGGCAGCTGACACACTGCCTTTGATATCTGACCCTCACCCCCACCCCGAAGGCCTTCCCTGCACACCCCTTCTCTAGCCCCTCTGGGAAGTGAGCCCTCTACCCACAGCCTTCCGATGGCCCTCTGCTGCAGCAGAGGGCGCCTGGCCCCTCTCCCCGGGGCCCACTGCTTCCCTGCGGACTGCCACTTTATTTTCCTTGTTCCATAAGCTCCTTGTGGGCAGGCAGTTGTGCCTGGAGCCTTCCCTATGGCCAGTGCCTTCTGTACCTTTCACAGGCCCAGAGCTAATGCACAGAAGGAAGAAAGGCCCTAGAATGAGCACCAGGGAGTGAGGAGAAGCAGGACTGCCCACTGCCTGCCTTCGGACAGCCTGTGTCCTCTTGCCTCTTCACCCACCTCTCTCTAAGTTGGTGGAGTCTTTAACAGAAAGGGAGGCTGACCACCATGCCTGTGTGTTGGGTTCTATGGTATGCTTGATTCTGAGACAGAAAAAAAGCCATCCCCTTGCAGAAGCCCAGGGTTTCTCCCAACCCTTCCTGAGTCACCTGCTCTGCTGCCTGGGCAGACTGCTAACTACTCAAGTTTGCCTGCTGAAGGAAGGCATCACAGTATCAGAGAGAAGGCTTCCGTGGCAGGGGCTAGAACCTGAGACAGTGGCCCTCCCTGGGCTGACCGAGGTGGTTCCTGAAGCCCATGGCAGGGGCTAGAACCTAAGACACAGGCCCTCCCTGGGTTGACCCAGGGTGGCTAAGAGCGTGGGCCCTGCCCAGGCTAACCTGCTGTCAAAGAGAGCTTAGACGGCGGCGTTGGAGACTTGGGTGAGTGAAGATGGGCATATTAGGTCACTTATCTAAAGGGGCTGGCCCTTCTGGGGATTTGAAATCAGGGCACTCCTGGCAAATTCCCAGAGTGGGCCTGGGGCTGGCTCAAGGTGCTGCAGGGGCTGCTGCCTCTCTCTGTTCATGACGGGGATTCTCTCCTGATTCTCAGTGGCCTGATGGAAAACGCCTGGCCTTGGACCCTCCGCAGAGCAAAGAGGACATCTGCGCAAAGGGTGTGACAATAACGACTTTGGAGGACGCCTCCTCTGCCCGGGGCAGGGCTCAGCGCGTGGTCCAGGTGCTTGGGCAGCAGAGCCCTCCTCCCCACGCCCATCCCGCCTGCCTCCTTATACCCGCCGCAGTCTTCGGTACGGTGAGTTCCACAGGCAGGGCGGCTCGGAGGGCCGCAACGCTATCTGGGCAGCTGCGACAGTGGCGCAGGTCAGGCTAGACATCCGCGCTTCTTTCCCGGTCCCGGGATCGCCAAGCAGTCCTACCTGTGCACAGGCTGCTTGGGTGGCGGCCGCACTGGGGGAAGCCCCACCTTCTCTCTCCGCCCTCCAGCGCGGCGTCCCGAGCGCCCCGTTTGCCCTGAATACTCCTGGCTTCACGGGGCAGTCCCCACCCGAACACCCACCCGGGCACCGCTCCCGTATCCAGCACCAGAGGAGCTCGGCTTCCTTTACCCACGCGCGACCCCTCGCCAGGGACGTCACCCGCCCCCAGCCTCGCGCCGAGGTGGGCGCGGCGTGGGTTGCCACCTCTGTCCACCCCGCCTCGGGGGTCGCTTCAGCCCTCGGGCCCTTCCCTGGCACCCTGCGCCCAGCCCCTCCTCGGCCCCGCGCTCCTTTGTGTGGCCGCTGCGGCAGGGCGGAGGTGCCCCGCTCTCTCCTGCGCGGAGCCCCCGGGGGCGGCGGGCGGGAGGCGGCGACTCGGGGAGGAGGGGGCGGCCGCCTAGCCCCGCTCCGTGCCCCGCCCGGCGCCGCCTCCGCCATTGCTGCAAGCGGGAGCGGGCGGCGCGGAGGCTTGGATCGCGGAGCCAGACCTGGCGGAGCCGGCGCGGTGAGTGCGGCCGGCCGCGCTGCCCGGGGGCCGAGACCTTCCCGCCCGGGAGCGGGCTTGGGGGGCGTGCACCTCCCCGAACTGGCGGACGGGGTGGACCGGCGGTCACCGGGACGTGGGACGCGTCTATTCGTGCTGGGCAGGGGCGGCACCCTGTATCCCGGCGGCGGAGCGCCCTTGCGCCCGGGCTACCGGAGTCTGTCCAACCGCAGCACGCCTCCTGGTCCCTACCCCCGGTCTTTTGGCTTTGACCGCCGCGTCTTCACTACCGCTCCCTGGAGACTAGCCCTGGTCAGCTGAGGGTGCGGGGAGCCCGCCTGCGCCCGCCCCGCCCGGGTCCGCTAGCGGTGATTCCTGCCTGGCCTTCCGTCCGCAGGCTGCAGCCTCGAGTCTCCCGCAACGATGGTGAAGTTGGGGAACAATTTCGCGGAGAAGGGCGCCAAGCAGCAGCTTCTGGAGGATGGGTTCGACACCATTCCCCTGATGACGCCCCTCGATGTCAATCAGCTGCAGTTCCCGCCCCCCGATAAGGTGAGGGTCCTCTCGCACCCCAGCACTGCCAGGTGCGCACCCCCAAATCTTGAATGAAACCGCAACAAAAGAAATGCGTCGTGTGCGCCGGGGACGCGAAGTAGGGGCGGGCTCGGGGAGCAGCGGGAGCTGGTGAGACAATGTACACGCGCGGGATTCTGGACCGGGTGACGCTGGGGCCTGGCCCTGGATGACAGCCTCGTCCTGACAATAGAACGCCCTGGGGAAAGGTCCCCTCTGGATTTCGCGGCAGCCTCATCTGTCCCTGGACCCATGGCTGCCGGGGGCTCTGCGTCTGGGGTGAGCCCGGGTATGCGGCTGCCCCGTGGGTCTTTCCGGGGGTACGCAGTTTCCACTTGACTTGTCCCCGGAGGCGGGACCCTGGCCGCCAGATAGGCCCTACTTCGGGCTCAGTTGCCCTCCCGCCCTTTCTGCCCCCCGCTGCCAGGCCCGAAGCTGCAGGCGGCTGGGCTCCTCCAGGCACCTCAATCTCTTTGTTCCTTCTGCGGAGCCTCCAAGCGCGGCTGGGAACAGCCATGCGTCAGCCTTCCCCAAAGTGGTTTTTGCTGAATTTAAAGAATCCCATCTTTTTCTGACTACAGCTTCCAGTCAAGTAGTTTCTGTCCATTAAAGATATTATTTTCAAGACCTGCCACTTAAAAAGACAAGTAGGTCTTAGCACGCCTGGACAATTGTCTCATAAAACTGGGATCTAGACCCCATAAACGCAGCATCGGTTCCCACCCTCTCACTGCTTCTTAAAAACACCTGAGCCAGAATAAGCTCACTTCTTCCCTGAAGTGCTTTTGGGATATTGTCTCATTGGTCCCTGGTGAAGAGGCTGACTCAGGTGCTGGGTTCCTTCTGGCAAGTTGGTAGTTGCTGGCCCGGGGCCAGATGGAATGTGAGGAGCCCCTGAGGTGGGTCCTTCCCTTGCTGAGGGTCCTTTATTCCCAAGGTGGCCCCTTGAGAAGCTGGCTCAGCTCCCAGAGTGGGTTTGACACTCCCCACTACATTGTCTGTGTTTGAGTTTCAGAAGGGGGTTCAGCTGGTCACACCTGGGGCCCCCCAGGCCTTGGGGGAGCCCCTCTGGGTTGCTGGGGTCCTGGCTGGGCTTTGCAGAAGGGGCAAAGGAGGCTTCAGTGTCTTCCCCACCCTCCTGTCCAAGTGTCAGACTTGTCCAATTAGGGGAGCCTGGCCCTGAGCCCCTGCTGCTACCTCCTGCTGTGGCCTCTCCATTGCTCAGCCTTGAGTGGCCTGTGTGTGCCAGGCATTCTGGGTCCTGAGGCAGCACCTCTGTCAGCCGTTTCCTCCGTTTAGCTCTTGCCTCTTCTGCCCTCAGCCTGTTCCTTCCAGAACCATCTGCACTGTAGGTTTATACAAAGTGGAGGGTTGGGGCAGGTATGAAACCCTGGCCCACTGTGGGTAGCCTAGGCAGCTCCGAAAAGGGATGAGTGTCGTGTCCCCAGAGATATTCAAACAAAGGGGGCGAACTGGCAAGAATGTTCCAGAGAAGAGTTCCAGCAGGGACTGATAGGTTAGGTTTCTGAGGTCACAGATGGGGAAACCGAGTCTCAGAGAATTTAGGTGAGAGTTTAGAGTCATGCTCGTGCTCACTCAGCTGAAGGTCACAATCCTCCAGGATGCAGAAGTTTCCAGCAGTGCCTCACTCTACCCTGCTTGGAGCCAGACACTTCTCACATAAGACCTCTCTTTAACTAAACAACAGCCGCATGTCACTGACAGTCAGGGTTCTGGGAGCCAAAGTCACCTGCCCCAAGTGGCATGGCTTCTGAGAGTGGTAATGCAGTTGGGCTGTAAACAGAATCCATTTCAAGAATGTGCGTAGAGTGTGGAGGTGCTGGCAGTGTGGCACAGCCAGCAGTCACAGAGCCGGCAGCAACCCCAAGAGTCTCACCTGGCATTTGCTGGATGCTTATTTATTCCGTCCCAGGATCTTTTAATGAACTTTCCAGGCTAAATTTCTCTAATGTGCTAACAACTCTAATCTAACTACCAACATTATCCCCAAAGTATAGATGGAGGCCCAGAGAGTTGAAAAGACCTGCCTAAGGCCACCTGACCAGTTACAGACAGATGCAGATAGAGCCCAGATCAACAGAATATCAACCAAGTCCCCACTCGGGGCTGAGGGGTCCACAGACTTCCTTACCTTCACAGTAGCCTACTGACATGAGCCTCCTTCCCATGTCACAGGCGAGTGAAATGGCTCCAAGTGGCCAGTGTGTGCTCAAGGTCACAGAGCTTGTTACATCTGGGATCTGAGGATGGCAGGGTGACCGCAAGCACTGCTTCAAGAAACAGGTGCTGTGCAGGAGTGCATACCACTCCTCCCCCAGTGTGAGAGAGCCACAGAGGAAGGAATGAGACCACACCCAGCCCAGGTGACCATCCTGAGGTGCTAGATTCTCCCTGCCCTAGAGAGCTGGTGTCTTCCCCTAACCATGAGCTACCCATTCAAGGGGCATCTTCACTTGGGGAGTAAGAATGTGGGGTGGTGGCTCTTTCCTGCCTAACAGCCCCTCTCAGCACCTGCTCTGGGGAGTGGGGCTTGGGGGTCAGAGATATGTCACCCCTTGACATTGCTCTCAACACCTCCCTATCTAATGAAGATAGAGAAGTAAATAATCCCTGGTGCCAGGATGTGACAAGGGCAGTGATGATGAGGCCAGGGCTGGGGGTATCCTATGGAGGAGGCCACTTGGGGTGTCTTGGTCCATTGGAATCTGGTGAGACACTGGGTTGGGGTCTGGGCAGGGCAGAAGCAAGGGCCGGTTTCCATATTGGAAAAGCAGCTCACAGTAGAGGGTGGGGAATGAGGGCAGTTACAGGGGCTGTGTAGAGAGCAGGATAGTGGGTGGAGACAAGGAGGCCAACCCCAGCTCTTCCTGGGAGCTGCTGCCTGCTCTTCTAGCCGAGTCCTGGAGAAATGTGGATGGTGGGCTCAGAGTTTCTCTCCCTATGCACATAAAGGCCAACACCAAAGTAGCTGCATCTTCCCAACTCCCTGGCCTTGGCTGTGCTGGGTGGGGCTCTGCTGGGTCTGGAGTCAGACGCCATGCTGCCTTGCTGCCCTGCCACATGTTAGCTGAGTGATCTTGGCCAATGAGCTTAACTTCTCTGTCCCTGTGTTGTAACATTCCCCCACCCCCCGGGGCTGCTATCAACATTATTAATGGCTAATTTCTCTGGAAGTCCTGGCACCAGGAGAGGAGGGTTCCAATGATCGGTGCCCGTGCCCTGCCTTTTGTGAATTCTTCTCTGGTGAGATGGTGACTTTGAACATGAGAGGTCCTGGGCTCTCCCTCTTTGGGCAGATGTGTCTGAATGCATCTGGTTGTGCCACTGATCTTTTGCTTCTCTGTTTCCTGGATAAGGTGGTTGTGAAAACTAAGACTGAGTATGAACCTGACCGCAAGAAAGGGAAAGCACGTCCTCCTAAAATAGCCGAGTTCACCGTCAGCATCACAGAGGGTGTCACTGAGAGGTTCAAGGTGAGTGGCTGGGAGGGCGTGTGTGAGATGCTGCTTTGCCACCGGGAGGGGTCTGCTGAGCTGCAGAGATGACAGGAATGTGACAATGTTCAGCTGAGCTGCTTCCAGCTGCTGCAAACTTGGCAGCTCCAGCTACTCCCCTGACACCTGCTCTTCCCTTGCCACCAAATGTCCTCTTCTGAGGGTTAGGGCTGGCCCGGGCTCCACTTTGGGCATGAGGCCTGTGACAAGCGTCTCAGTGAGATCTGGTGGGTTGGCCCTTTGAAGTGCAGGCCCCTCCACCTGAGATGGTGACCCAGAAAGGGGAACCAGGCTATGGTGACCCTCTGAGCCAAGAATGTCAGCCAAAGATGAAGGCACGGGGACTCTTTGTGTCAGACAGAATTTACTCATCAGCCGTCCTGTGCCAGCCAGGTCAGGTCCTGATGCCAGCTCCTCTCTGGTGTGGGTGCACACTTCACAACAGCTCGATAAGTAAATGGGTGACTAATTGTGCTGCCGGAGTCCTGGGAAGGGGTGTTTGGACAGCTTTCTGGGGTCTGCCTGTGGGTCCCTCCTTGTTGAGTAAGCTCACTAGAGTGAGCTGTCTGGGCTGTGCATGGTGTGAGCCCTGCACAGGTGGTATTTGTCGATTATGGCCAAGCCAGGCAGGCGACCTGCCCAGAGCCACACGGTCCATGAGTAGCAGAGGCAGGCTGGGAGCAGGGCAGTCTGCCCATGGCTGCAGGCACACTTGGGCTGCCAGCTGGACCAGGACACACACAGGCTGGACAGCCTGCATTCTGAGGGTTCCCTTGGGAATTGGGAAGGAGATTTACCCACCGCCTGCCTACCTGGTGTGGTGTGTGTGTGTAAAGTGCGGCCTCCAAGGTGCTATTTCCCCAAGGATGCCTGAGGCCACCTGAGTCAGAATTACCTGAGTTCAATTTGAACACAGGGACCCTACACCCTGGGCCCTGGGAACATGCATTTTAACATGCTGTGCAGGTGATTCTAATGTATTCTGAGTTTTGAATCTTTTGGGGTGGGGACAGCTCATTGTAGCACTGTGTAGGGAAGGACCAGGAGGGCTGGCTCTTTTTGGGACTGCTAAGAGTGCCCGCTCTTCTCGAATGTTCTCCTGGCTTTTTACTGCCCAGTGTTATGTCTGTATCCCTGAATGCACAGACATGGTCAGGCGCGCTGCTGTTGTGTGAAGCTTCTGCTGGTCTATAAGGGCATGTGGGGAACAGGCTGTGCTGAGGTGTGCAGGCACACTTGGGCTGCCAGCTGGAAATGTTGGTGGCTAGACAGAGGATGTGCCCTCCCTGACTGTGTCCCTCCCACCGAGCCCAGTCACAGCTGCAGTTGGGACAGAGCGTCTTCCTGGGACTGAACAGCTTCTGGGAGGCTCCTGGCCCAGCCATCATCTTAGTTCTTTTCATCTCCATGTGTGAATCATATGAATGAAATCTTCCCTTTCTGATGTTACAGCAACAAGTAATAATATGTCCCCCTCTGTCTCTAATTTGTGCTGTTCAGGAGCACCTCAGCTTTATAGGCCTGGGATGACATCCTTGAGATGAAATGTCTTTTTGGATGTTACTTTATGATCATCACTGGAGGATAAGTCTCTTGGCTCCCAGGTTGCCAGGCTGGTTGCTAGGTAACTGCTGACTGGGGAGAGGGCTGTGTAAGACTCTGCCACAGGACCAGGGACGCAGGATGACTCACCCAGTGGCAGCCAAAAGCCTAGGCTTCAGAAGAGGTTAGTTAGTGTCAATGAGGAAAACAGTCATTTAATTAATTAGAGGTGTGTTTTTGCTGAGAATAAACAATAGGCTGAGATGTTTCTCAAATTAACTAAACCTAAACATTTTTTTTTTTTTTTTTTTT